ACCAATCTTAGTCTAAGCCAGGGTATTAAATCTTAGAATTCAGTCTAAGCTAAGTAATTTTCTATTACCCACCATGCATCTTAAATGATGGAAAGGCTAAAACTTTACAAATTCACTTGCAGCAAGTCTTAATTTCAACTTTTTACAAATTAAAGGAAATATTTAAGGTCCTGAAAGCCATTAAGAATTAACTAAAGTTTAAAAATACTCTGTATATCAATGACTGATAGTGAGGCAACTTTATAAATTTTACTATCTTAGACAAAATAATAATGTAGTACTCTACTCCTTTCTTTGATATTGTATCTAAAAACATGCCCAATCCCCACCCAGGCAGCAGGCAGCAGGGATTGATTCCTATGAGGTATGCTACCAGTAAACTATAGCTGCAGTCCTTTTATTCTTTTTTATTTTGAGATGGGGGGGGGGGTCTCATGAAATTTTCCAGGATGGCCTTGAACTTGAAATCCCCTGCCTCATCCCAGGGCACTTAGGATCAGAAATCTGTAGCACTAGGCCCAGTTTAAAACATTCTTTCAATATGGTAGAGCTTTTTGTTCTTGTTTCTCTTTTAAGCTAGAGGTGAACAAATTCTCTCTATGAAAAAGGCAAACAGTATCTGTTTTAGGTTTTGTTAGCCATATGGTTTGACATCATGGCTTAAAAGTAGCCATAGACAATATGTAAGCAATTGGAATGAACAAGTTCCAATAAAATTTTATTTACAAAAACATGAGCAGGCCGGATTTGGCCTATAGATTTTAACTAGTAGACTAATACACAAAAATTACTAAACAATCTTTCCAAATAAATTAACTTTACTATTTTATTATTTCCAACATATATAAATCATAAAGAAATGTAATAAACATTTTTTGATTAGCACATCGCTAGATGTATAAAGTTTATATACATAAAACATATTACATGTAATTTAGAATTATCACAGCATGCTGGAGGCAGAGGCAGATATCTGTGAGTTCCAGGGCAGCCTGGTCTATATAGAAAGTTACAGGACAGCTAGGGCTAGGGAGACCCTGTCTCAATACAAACAAAACAAAAAAACAAAAATTCTAGTTACTGGGGCAGGGGAGAAGGCTTAGTAGTTGAGAGCACTGGCTGCTCTTCCAGAGGACCAGGGTTTGATTCCCAGCGTCCACATGACAGCTCATGGCTGTCTGTAGCTCCAGTTCCAGGGTATCTGGTACCCTCATGTGGACATGCACATGAAATAAAAATCATTTTAAAAATTCTAATTACTTTAAATTGATGAATTTGAGAGGCCTGCTATACATAACTGTTATTCGGTGTTGAGGAAGCTCTATATAACCCCCACCTTTTCTGAGAAGCTGGTACTAGAGCCCACTATTGAAGACGGAGAAAGAATTAATCACATAGACAACTTTTCCTCTCTAAACAATTTCCAGGTAAAGATACATATTATATAGATACATTGCTATTCCAAATCACACTCCTGTTTCAAAAGACAATATTTTGTGCTTATGTGTGTGGTGTATGTATATGTACGTTTTTATGTGTGCATCAACTTTTATTATGAATTTACGCTATATTTAAAAGGTAAACCTTACCTCTAATCATTAACCAAGAAAACTGGCACATGTGCTTACACAAACACTCCTGAGAATAAGGATAGCAAGTCCCACTAATTTCAATTTATGAAAATTTGAAAAATACAATTACTTGACATCTAATATAAGTAATAAATACTGTGTCAAGGTTTGTTATAGCACCTTACTCTATCAGGCTTGAGACCCACAGATCAGGAGCAAGGCGTGCTCATCCTTGCAGAAAAGGGTAACCACTTTCTATACACAAGACAATTACCTATGAAAAATGGGCCGAGGATAAGATTTCAAGGTTCTGGGGCGAGAAGACAAGTTTTTTACTCTGTGGCTTAATGTCTTTCTGAGTGTTACAACTTTACCATATAATGGATTACCTTTATAGTTTGTTTTTTAATGGTTTAAGATATACATCCAATATACACACCAAGAAGCATACAGAAACTGAATGAATGAGGCAGATGGGATAGCTGTAACACACTAGAGGGAGTAGCTCCCAGGTCAGACTGCATACCTCTATCTCCATGGCCATGAGCTACTCAAGTCAGGGCTTTCCCGGAACACCCTCTAGTGACACCTATGGTCAAGAAACTTAAAATAGCCTTGTAGAGAGCAACTTAATCCACGTTCATATTCAGGATGTCAACAGGGTAAATTAGTGCCCACCAGTTCCTTATCTGCAGGGGACCCAAGTCATCCAAGAGGGATTTCCTTACTTCCCAGATTGCAGCAGTAAGAGGCACAAGCCATGCAAGAAAGATTTTCATCTCCCAGACTGCACCAATAACAGGAAACTATTACCTATGCCCTACAGATATGTTCCATCAGCACTGCTCAGGCTTCACAACCACAATGGGATAGTATTTCAAGGCTTTGGTCTTTGGGGGAAAAGTAAAGTATTGCCACCCCATTTTGAAATGGATCAAGTTAAAATGCATTAAATTTAAATGAATGAAAATTCAGGACTCTCATCATCACTCAGCATTTCAGAATCTACTACATCAAGACTGTACATAACTTTTATACTAAAAGATTGAGAAATGAAAATAAAATAAATCTGTAAATCTTCCAACTACTCGCCAGAGATTAAAAACTCGCTAATAATCCAATTCTGCTCTTGGGAATGGTGAAAAGCAATAAACAAAAACGAGCTCTTGCTCCTGTCTCCCATCCCCGTCACTACTGACAGCTACTGAGAGGAGAGCCAAGCCTGTTGTTTCCAACCCTCACAGAAAAGCAGCAAGCAGTCTCTTCCACCTGAGTAATCAGTTTCCACAAAATTAAGATTCAATCTGTTGTTCCCACAGTAAAATCTACTAATTCTATTCTACAAGCATTTCTGAGCTGCTCCTACATTCTCTCTTGTGTGAAGCTACAGGACTGAACAAAACAGTATGTAGGACTGCAGAGGCAAGGGCTTAACATTTCTTAAGTGTCACAAACAAACTCCTCATGTAAACAAGGCTAAAGGCTCCTAGTAACTATTCGTTCCAAAGATTAACTGCTTATTAAATTCCAAAATACAGTTTCCAAAGGGGCTTAAAAAAAAGTCAGTGTAATTCTTTTCACAGCACACTGACAACTTGAAACGTCGTCTTCACTGTCATATTTGAAGAAATTATTATTATTCTGAAAGATAAACTGCACACCGGTGCAAGCACAGAAAATCTAAAGAATAAAAAAAAATGCAAACATAATCCTAAACATTAGCCTCTCTTTCCAGATCTAGTGATGCCGTATTGGCATGCAGATTAAGCCATTATTTATGCAGCAAAATGAACAGGGTAATTGTTTATTCTGTGTTCCGTCATGGTCCTGTAAGTATTCTACGAAAAAAAAAAAAGACAAAAAGAAGCTGGGTCAACAACAGACTGCAGTGTCCAAGTACACTTTCATCGCATAAGCCCTTATTATCGTGGGCTTTTACATTTACATCATGCAAATCTTGGTGCCTCCACACAGCCGACTGGGAAGCGCACTCGCACCTCTTCTACAAAATCTCAACTGTATTTTAATACATTTTTTATGAAGTGGACCTCTTGAGACATTCCCAACGAATAACCACTCTTTTAGGGGAGGTGGTGAGGGGAATCACCCAGAATCCTGGCAACCCTTAAACATCTGTGTAGGAACAGCCGTGCTATTTTAACTGAAATAACGCACTGCCTCCTTTCAAACTTAGCTCGGAGACGGAGTTTGGGAGCACGGAAAGATAGCAGGGATGCGAACTTTCCTGGTGGGGTCTGCAGACACTGCACAGGGCGATTCCGCGACCCGGGCCAGGTCGAGGGGCCGGGAGGGCGGCAGCAGCAGGTAAGGGCGGCCGGGAGTCC